TTCACTTGGCACCACCCTGTGAGTAACCCCTCCCACAACTCCCTGGACTGCTACTCCCAAATCCTGAGCAAAATCCAGCCTTATGATGGCCCACATTCACTGTTTTTCAGTATATCAGCTTAAACGGGTTTCTTAGTTAAACTGATTCATAATTCACACACCACTCAAAAAACACAATGTTGCAATATTTAGCACATAAACCCGCACACATGTCTGTTTCTCTCTCTATCATTCCTCTTTATTCATAGCCGAGGTCGCGGGTGCAGGCGCCAGCAGTGTGATGTCTGTCCTGACTGAGAAAGCCATTGTGAAGAAAGAGGAGCTGTGGGACATGGTGGGCACCGACCAGTGGAAAATCAACAACAGCCTGGACGAGAAGTACGAGCCCCGCCCAGTCCACGTCATTTTGAGAGAGGCCCGTGCGCTGGTGGGCAAGGAGCTGCCGTACTGCATCTTCAGGGGGAACTGTGAGCACTTCGCAAACGAGCTCCGCTACGGAAAAGCAGAGTCCCGGCAGGTCAGTGGACCCAGTCTTTTAGTTGCAGGACTCTTTTTGGGGCTGGGATGAAAAACAGAAAAGGGGTTCCAATGGTAAGACAGGGTGTAGCTGGAGGAGTCTTGTGTAAGCCTTGTGTGGCCTTCTATTGTGGCCAGCCTATGGCACACCTGTATAACATCCTGTCTGATCAGCATCTTGATATGCCACACCTGTGAGGTGGATGGATTATCTCAGCAAAGGAGAAGTGCTCACTAACACAGATTTTGACAGATTTGTGAACAATATTTGAGAGAAATAGCCTTTTAGGCCTTTTGTGTACATGGAGAAAGTCTCATAATGAATGGGGTCAAAAAACAAAAGTGTTGCGTTTATAATTTTGTTTAGTGTAAATACGTCTGATACACACACTTATAAATGCATGTTCAACATATAGGCCTAAGCCTGTTTATCTTGGCAATGTATGATGATGAACACATCCAATATCCAAACACATCTTCGGAGTTGGTCAGAGATTTATAGCAGAGATTTTTATCCTCCAAGTTATTAATTGTGGCTCTGCAGCTTTCTGCAAAAGAGGCTAAGTGGAGGCAAATATCACAATGTAATCACAACCTTAACAGTGCTGTAGTACAGATTGGATTATGAAACAAAATGAAGGAAGAATAACTCCCATAGAGGAATGGAGCAATTTGGGACTACTAAAACAGGGAAGAGGCAACCGGTCCAAAGTGTACATTGCTGCACACATGCTATTAAAGTTCGTCATTTTATCCAGTAATGGCTTCATTTATTGTCATTTAATTTGATTGAATTGTCTTGTTCGTGATCTGTCAAAGCGAGCACATCAATAATTTTCATTCACTCAATTATCCTTTTATTTACACAGGGTGGTCCAGTGAAATAAAATAAAAATGACAACTCTTCTTCTACTCTCTCTTTGCAAAACATTAAAACATGTTTATTGGAGAAGAGTTGTGTGAGGTATTTGGTTGTTAGTAATTTGGTTTACTGACAACATTCTAATCCATTTATAAATTATATATTAATAAATGTATAAAAATATATCTAGGACTTTCCTGTTGATCATTTTCACTGGTGTTTTCATTTTCTACTCACCATATATCAAAATGAAGACATGGATTCTGTTTGACTTAAGACATGTTAGAAAATAAAAAAAAATAACTGATAAGCAAAATCATATCAACATGCAATCAATAGTTGTTTTTTTCCCCCAATAGTGACCTATTTTCATGTTGAGGATCAATACATCAAACCCCTTTTACAGCATAAACGGTCTACATGTCTGCCGTCCATTACTTTAAAGTAGAAAAGGGAATCTTAGCGGTACAAATGTTCTAATGTGAGTGAAATTTAGCATAATTTCAATAGAGTTTTGAATGTCAAGATGACTCTGTGCATCAAACCTCTGCTCACTAACTACAAGATGTACGTGTTCCTCTGCAGGTGCGTAAGGCCGGAGAAGTAGCCATGGTCGCGGGTTTGGCTACAGTGGTGGGTCTGGGTTTTGTAGCTCTGGCAGGAGCTCTGTTTGGAGGCAGCAAAAAAGAAAACAAGAACACACAGTGATGGAAGTCCCGGGTCACCTGTGCAGGGGCTTGATTAACAGATCACCAGCAATGCCTAAGGGTAGTTAACATGATCGCTCATAGAAAACACTTAATATACATGCAAGCTTCTGTGATTTAGAGAGAAGTTTGGCTGATTTTTATCTTTTCTGCTCAAAGTAATCACCATATCTCTCTCATACCACCTTTTGGTTTCAATAACAATGCAAATTGGCTGGTTTGGTATCATGGCCCTGACTTTTTAACATTTCTACAGACAGCACATAGAAGCACAAAAGAAAATGTTCATTAATTAAGGTGTCAAGATAAAATCTGTTTAAATGTTTTAATATGGAGTTTTTGAAGATAACTATAGATTTTTATTGGATTGTGAGGGATGTGAGATTCACAAGGTTAGGGGATCTTTTCTATATAAAACAAAGTTTGCTGGTAGCTGCAAATGAAGAAATAATGTTTGCTACTTGAATCGAATTTAAACGGCTCTGAAGTCTAAATGGTGATTCTTGTTAGCCAATACATTAATAAGCTGTCCAACAATAAGTTTACATGATTAAAATAAGCAAATATGATATTCTGCTTATATCTCACAGAAAAGTAATGTAATGAAATGTTATAGTACCTTATGAACTGTAGGTCGTTGGCGGAAAGGAGACGTGGACTGAATTAAACACTCCTGCTTTCTTATTTTATCTCGGAGTTCTCAATTTAACTGGAATTTAAGGTTTTATCTTAAATTTATTTGTAAATGTTTTGAATAAAGAATTATTTGTGTGATTATGGATGGTAGTCTCTCTTTCTGCAATGTAGTGTTGCTCTCACACAGGGTCCTAGTTCTTGACCTCAGTCTGGTTTCAGTTTTGAATTCATGAAATTTTGGTTTTAGCTGTTTACTTACTTTCCTTGGTCACTTTTGAGAAGCAGCATACTCTATTATTTTATTAATGTTACTGTGTTGTAGAGACAAACCACCTTATTTTATCCCTGAGTACGCTGAACTTGTTTTATTTAAAATGATGTATTTGAAAAATATTACATCTCTCTGATCTCCATCCCAGGCCCTCTCTGCAGATTTGATTTTTACTGAACCATTTGCATCTCTCCAGTTCATTAGTCCTCACAAATAAGAGACACATTTGATATCACCCAGAAATCTTTTGTCCAGGCATTTGACATATCTGTCTGAGACGTCTGTCTCCACCCACCTTTTTATAATTGTGCATTTAACAAAACATTACCAGCAGCAATTTCTCTTCAGTGCCCAATACAATGGAGAATAGATATTTCACTAAATTTCTATTTTCATTGTTATATTTCCTACTTATGAGTCCACATTGACTTCTGTTGAAATTTTCACCTCCTGTGTGTGGCAGAGGCAGACATCTCAGAGATGGATACCAGTCATCCTGGTCAACTCACTTAGTTCTTGGCTCATACACTTGCTGACGAGGACTGTGACGAAAGCCCTTTAATCTAAAGAAGAAACATGTGGTTTATTTTAATTATTTATTTTTAGAATAGCTCACATGCTACATGATTTGGATTCTCTGTAAAAGGTTGCATCCAGTTCCTTGCCTGACCTGACTGCCCCAAAACAGGACATTAGCTCCCATGGTGATAGCTGCTGATTGTGTCAGCTGGCTTATGTATACAGCATCTTGAACAGTAAGTAACACCAAATCTAACAATACCACATTCATCACAGACAGGGGATGATGAACAGAATATGCTAGTGGGAAACATTTCATGTCAAATTTCTGTTGAAACGTAAGAATTACTTGATGTGATCCTACAGAGCAGATCTGCAATTAAATAAAGGCACAAATAATAATAAAAGCAAAATCTACTTCAATCTCCTTTACTGACCACACCCACTGCCAAAAATGACTGATTGTAAATTGTACTTCCTCAGATGATCTCAAAAGTTTTTAGTGAGATCTGCAGGATTATACACGTACAAAAACATAACAGGACTTAAGATTTCATAACCCTTCATCCACAGCACTACCCTGCATAGAACACACTAGGAAAAGACATGTAAACACACAAATTGATTTTCCCTTAAAACCAGTTCTCTAGCCTCAGTTTAACTACTTACTGCATTTCCATGTGCTCATCACGCATCAGCAGTGCATGTTCCACATTTACAGATCTGAGATCAGTCAAATGTGTGTCCCCTCGGGCCAGTTCAGTACAGTAAAATCCAGTGTTGAATGTGCAAAGTAGACAACAAATTTGTAGTTCTTTGCCAGGAAATCTTTTGTTGGGCCGCACAAATATACAAGTGCATGCATGGATTGATCTTAAATCTGTAAGTTAGTGACAGCTGAACTAAAACATTCATATCCACTGTGTGTGTGTGTGTGTGTGTGTGTGTGAGAGAGATTACTGAACAACATTCAGTAGAATACATGTTTAAATTCTTTTTTATATATATATATTTCTCAATTTTAAAAAAAAGTGTCATATCTTTGTCATTTTAAGACAAGATGCACCATTTATATACATTTACTTTACAACTGCAACTTTGAGTTATGCATTTAAAAAGAAAAAAAAAAAAGAGGGGGACATTTTGTGTGATCAACTCTGCTGCAAGAAGTGCTGCTTCATGTCTTCCTAGATTTTCTATATCGCTTTTCCGTCTCTGCATTTGTTTCTGCTCTGCCATCCCCAATAATGCATTCGTAAATCACTGGACTGTTGCTTTTTCACCTGTCTGTCATCAGACCAACAGTAACACTTTCCTCCGCTCAAACAACAACCAACGCCTCTATTATAGCGAAACACTGTTCACAGTTTTTTTTCTCAACTTCTAACACTTCTTTCTGGTCCTTTGTTTGTGGAATGTCAATCCTCCATCCGCTGCTCCGGGTGCAGTCACTGGTCCATGTTCCTCCCTCTCCATCCCGACTCTCTAATCTGCTTTTGCATCCCCCGTCAGTCCAGCTTGCGTGCGCCCAGTTTGAGAGGACCTTTAGCAGCTTTGCGCTCTGCCCGTTTTGCCTCCAGCTCTTTCCTCCTCTCCTCCCTTTTCTTCTTGGACAGCTCGGCCTTGCTGAGACCTGGTTGATGCAAGCATACAGTAAGCAAAATAAAGGGGCCATATTTGTTATAAAGGGGTGCCAGCGGAGATACTTACCCTGGTTCCCATCCACTGACTCCCAGCTCTCCTCAGCTCCCCAGTCCCCTGTTGCCTCTGCACCCCAGCCATCTCCAGCCTGACAAGGTGAAAACACAACACACACATCACTGAGCTGAAATGCATGTAGTGTCAAGATTTTACAACAGTGTTCTCTCATTTCATCCTCATGTTTTCTTCACCTATAGATCAACAGAGAATGCAGCAATTTACTTCATATAAAAGGAAGAGTCTTACATTTTGGGTAATAAGTTTTCTTGCTGAGAGTTGGATCAGAAGACTGATACTACTCTCTTGTCTGTACATTTTATATGAAGCTAGAGCCAGTAGGCAATTAGCTTAGCTTAGCTTAACAGACCTGAAGCAGGGGAAAACGGCTAGCCCAGCTCTGAATAAAGTTTGTGCATGCAACTCATGTCGGTTTTACACTTCGGTTATTGTATGGATTAGACAAATGAGATGTAACGTGTTAATTTGGGAGCTTTAGAGGTGCTTAAAATTACTTTCAGGATTAATTTATTTAAAATCCTCATTCAATTTCAATTAAACACTTTATTTAAACCATCCATCTCTTGCTTTTCTGTCTTATTTGCCTCCCTTCGTACTCACCGTGGTGGCAGCAGTGCTGGCTGTGTTTCTCTGGGACACGCTGGCGAACAGATCATTCTGACTGGCCCCCTTGGCTGTGCTGCTGCTGTCCCAGTTGTAATCGCTGGCCAACCGCACCCCTTCAGGAAGGGGGAGCGTTGCGCTGGTCAAGGTTGTGTCCGTGTCCTCCTCCCCCCAGTCGTTGCCCCAGCCTTCTTCGCCCGCAGAGCTCTGACCCTGCCCTTCCTTCTCATTGGACCAGCTGTCATCAGCGTCCCAGCCTGAGCTGCTCCAGTCAGAGCTCTGCTTTTTCACCGCCGTGGACGACGAGGACCGGCCCACCTGGATATCAGAGAGGTGATTCAAGATCGAAATGGAGACTATATGAAATAATATAAAAAGCAAAAATTTTATCCCCAGTAGAGAACATGGACTATGAAGTTCTTCACAAACTGACTAAGAAAAAAATCCTAAAAGAAATCCTGTTCACTGTGGATCACTTGTTCTCAATTTATTGATTGATAAATCCAAACTAAAAAGGGCTCATACTCCTCTGTCACTGGCCTTCTTTTTGGATGATACCATTCCTGACCAGTCTGTGTTCCAGTCATCTGGGTCAGTGTGTGCTTTCTCTGGGTCCTACATGAGAAACAGTCCACAATTTATGTGATTAGAAATTATAGACATGTAAAAACATAATCTCACATACACATGTGTATCTCTCTCTTTTTTTCTTCAGTAAAAAGTAGTGAAATCCTACCTCTAAACTTCCCCAATCCTCCTCCTCATCCCAGCGGTCACCTATTGGCTCGTCATCATTGTCTGTTACTTCAAGACTCTGTGATTGGTTGGCACGGCTAGAGGGAGGATGGCGAGTCACAGTGGATTGTGGAGTTTTATGTTCAGAATCTACGATAGAAAGGAAAGTAAGAGATAATGTTTCAGATAGCATATTTGAGACTTCTTAAAGGAGAACTCAACCATTTATACACATCCAAGTGTGTTTGCACATTTTGGGGATGTACTATGTATTAAAAAATCAAATCAAATCCAATTTTGATCAGAAATTGCCTCGAGTGATGTTACTTGAGTCAGTATTGGTTAGGACTGAAGATAAGTTTGAAAATGAAATAAATCTGGGGGGGGTGGTGTTAGAAAGAAGAGAGTTTACCAGACCTCTGTAGCTCACTCCTCATCTCTGCTTGGGTCCCCCATCTTGCACGATGGGGGACCTTTCTTTCAAATGCGAGTTCCGTGTGACTTTGCCGGTTAACATGTAGGATTTTTAAATTCCAAAACTCCACTAACATTTCATATCACCATCCACAGGTTAACAACGCAGCCAAAATGTTATTTTGTGTTTAATAAAACACAATATAATTTGTTGTTTTTATTGAATCGTATTAATCTCATACGAAAATCTTCATCCAAAACAAAATAGCCTACAGAATAATAGAACATGGCACAACTAGATAGAGTATACAGGGGGATCACGTAACAAGCAATAAAGGCATTAAAGAAAAATAGTGAAGTCTTTATAAATTTTAACTGTTTTAAATTCTTCAGACTACATAATACTTCAATATCATGTTTGATTTCTTTTGAAATGTTTTATTTGAGAATGTCGGCCTGTTATTTTTTTTAAGATAAAGGGGTTCAAATAGGCTTTTCTTTTACAATGTTTATTGTATATTGTATGTATATTTTACAATCAATCTTTTCATAAAAGAACATAATTTATTTTCGTAAATATAGCTCGTCATAGTCTTAAAGAAATATTCAAAATCTAACCAAAATAATTTGGTTCATTAATAAACACAAAATAAGTGATAAATACTTTCAGTTTCGTTATTGTAAAAAACACTTTTCCTCAACATCAATCTTGAATCTTAATACAACTGTTGTTTATTTGATACACATATTATAGAAATGAGTGCAGCAGTAATGTCAGATCCAATTTACGCTGGGGAGAGGGTAGTTCATCGGAAAGTTGGCCAATGTATTTATACACTACGCGGGTTAGGGAGCTCAATTTGGCTGTGAGGGTGACTCCGACCAGAGTTCACTCCGTGTTGGAGTGGAAGTGGCAAGGGTCTAGTTTCGGAAAGGCCCAATGTGCTGAATAAATAAAAAGGTGATATCTGGGGTCCCCCTGCACAATTTTGATCCTCTTTTTAAAACTGCTCGTCGTGTGTTCAACAATGTTTTAGGAGTCAAGCAAATCAAATGTGATAACCCTACCAGGTGCAGGTGCACTGGTGGCATTGGTAGGGTTGCTGTCGCTGGCGGGCATGCTGCCGTCAGCTGCTGCACCCCCCTCTGTCCCTGGAGCGGTGCGGATCAGCTTGGACGTTAGTGAGGACACTCCAGTCACGGCCCAGCCGGCCCAGCTGGAAGAGGCACCTGCAGGCTGAGCACACGACGCTACGTCCTTTTCTGCAGGATGGGCAGAAGACATATTACTTTTTCTGTATATCAGTATATATACACATTTTTCACACTGTAATATATTTATTTCACACTTGCTTTAACAATGTAAACATCAGTTTCCAATGCCAATAAAGCTTTGCAGCTCAGCGCAGTGTGTTGCAAACCTATATCAGCCAGCTTGGTGGGGTCTTCTGACACAGTCTCCAGCTTGGTCAGGAAACTTTTGATGGCTTTGAATGCCTGACACAGAGAGAAAGGCAGGAGAGAAAATCCTGAGCAGAAATACATCAGTGTATACCAGTAAAAACAATTAATAGTGTACAGAGGTTAAACATCAGTATACAAGGTTGAATTAATAGGCCATACAGAGGTGGTTAACCTGAGTTAAAACAACTGGTATCACAAGCCAGCTAAACTCTGAAGCCAATTATTGGATGTGACACCTCCCTGTCTCATCCAAGAATTTCACCTGGGATAACTGCGTTTTAAAAGAAAGTCAAATCAATGTGGGTTGTATGAGATTGTGTGTCTAAACCTTGCCATACTGCTGGGGTCATGAGTCAAAAACATCAAGCTTAATGCTTCAGTGTTGACATTTTGCTGACAATGATATTCTGTTACTGTTGGAGGACAATACATAAAAGTACGCATCACATTACATCACAACCGTGACTATCTCTTCAGGACCACAAGGTTTACAGTAAATGAGGCATTTTCCTGCTGATAAATAACACTCTAAATGTTGTTGATATAGATCAATTAAAAAGTGAGTTCCAAAATCCCAAAGCAGAAGCAAACGGTTTCCTTTTCTCCACAGCAATGAATTTGTAGGCGTGCAAGCGTGAGATCAAAGAAACACCATGTAGTCACATATTCCCATCAGTCATGCGTACCTGGTCCCTGACGCTCTTGTCGGGGTCAACAGTAATGGCACAGAGGTTGGGCAGGATGCGGGCGGCGATCTCTGTTACACTGTAGTAGTTGTGTGTGGCGGCGAAGCCCAGTACACCAGCAGAGCGGGAAGCCGGGAAGGGGTCTTTAGTGGCTCGTGAGAAGGCAGAAATCAGAACACGTTGTCGAGTCTGTGAACAGAGGGATAATCTTTCATTTAAACAGATTCTTTACTGAACTTTGGTGTAGGCATTTTTGCATTAAAGAAATGAAGCACAATGGTGTGGGTGGACTTTACCCCGGCATTGAGGTAGGAGGCGATCTTGCCCAGGCAGACGGTAGTGTTGCACCGGATTGGGCCTTGTTCGTCTTTGGCCTGCAGCCGGGCAAAGTGACGCATCAGCTCCTGGTTCAGGTTGGTCTCATTCAGCTTGGGAGCCAGCAGCAACATAGACTGTATCGGGAGGAGGAGAAACAGAAAAGAGTTACGGCTATGGCAGGCGGACAACATCCAGTACACAAGTAATCTATCCTGGTCTGTGGCCCTGTTTAAGCATGCACACTACCTTCACAGTCTGTTCTCTGATGGCAGGGTTGGTGTCTGTGAAGCCGTGAACGACGTGAGGGAAAATCTGGGAATTGACTGCTGCCTCGTTTAGATACTGAATGAACTGCTCCATCTGAGAGAGAGAGAGAAGAAAAATCAGAGCAAAGCAAATCAATGTTTTTATCCTTTAACAAAGGCTTAAAAACAGCACATAGGGATATGATTTCCTGCTAGCTTTTGGCTTTTACTAATTTTAACTGGTGTTTCTCTTTCCTTGCTCTAGTGCTGCAATGTTTTCTTGCTGGATAGTGCATAGGAAACCAACATGTCCACTGAATCACTGTGGGAGAGTGTCAGTGGCTAGATGAAACCAGGCCTTCCATACCTGCTGCAGCAGTCGTATCCTCATGGCTCTGTCTGTGGAGGAGAACATCTTCACGATCACAGGAATGATCTTCTGTTGGTACTCTTCTGCTGACAGGAACTTCCCAACCTTGCAGACAAACAGATGGAGATGAGAACAGGGAAAAGTGAGAAGAGGTGTTACTTTCAAATAAGGCCTGAAATGAAGTGTGCACTAATGTGTTAATACCAGTATAACAATGTCTTACTTAGATTTTGAAAAAAGTTTTGTTTATGTTTTACTTTGAAAATGATCAGAGATGCTTGCAGACCCTGTGGTCTTACATTTGATAAATGTGATGGAAATTCTTGTGAGCGAGTCAACTCTTATTGAAGGTTTCAGAAAACTCAGAACTAAGAACACATTGTACTGCCAAACACAATGTGAAGATTGCCTCCTGGCCCACAATATTTATCCCGTAGAGTCTACGATATATCCCATACAAGGTCGTTCTTTACTGGCCAAAATATGTACTGCCACACTACTGGATGTTAGACTCAAATGCATTACCTAAGTAATGATGGGAGCTGGAGGTCACATGTATTACATTCTAAGTGGAGACAGTCTGTAAACATCTAAGATTCAGGAAGTACACCAAGCACCCCATATCTCCTGTCCTTGCACTCCTCAACTCATTCCTGATCTACCCAACTTTGAACTTTGAACTACTGCTAGAGAGACAGAGGTCATTCTGTTTCTCGGACTGTGAGTGATCAAATCGTTACGTATATGTGTGCCACTCCTCAGCTTTCACCCACATTGAGCCCACTGAGGAAAATACCCTCACAATAAGGTGTAAAAGTTACGCGGGCAGGTAAGGATTCACCTTGAAGAGCGGTGTGAGGACGACAGCGCCTGCATTGCCAAACTCGAAGGCGGTGAGCAGCTGAGGCAGGACCTTGTGTTTGCAGAAGTCTTCAGGGAAGGAGTCCAGATTGTCACTCAGATCCTGGAAGAACTGCTGCTTCTCAGCGGGCTCCTTGATCTGGAAATAGAGAACATTTCAATTCCACAATTATTATAATTTATTATGCTATTATTAGTTGCTTTAATATTATTAAATATACTATTATATTAAGACTTGATCTGCTTTACAATTAAAATAAAAGTCTAGGAAGCAAAGTAATCAAATGATTTGGGTGTATTAAGACAACTAACATCACACAGTTTCCAATAGCTGGTAATTGCTTCATCAAATTTATTGCATATTTATGTGCCATTAGAACTTGATACTGTTCTATCTTGATAGCGTTATGACTTTACTGACGAGATTTAATTTTAGCACTAATGCAAACATCACGGTTATACATGCTAAATGTGTGTGTTAATGCAAGTCTGCGGACCTGTATCTCTTCCAGGAAAAGGTTGCTCTCCACAAAGCTGTTGCTGAGGAACCCCCCGGGGGCTCTGCAGTTCTGGAGAAAGCGGGCTGGGTTGGGCCGAGCTCGGGGATTAGCCCCCACCAGTTCACAGTAATGAGGGACCAGGGACTTGGGGACCTGTTGGCAAAAAAAGGGCACAAGAGAGAGAACACAACTCTGAACAAGACAAAGATTCCTTTTAACTGTAATGGAAACCACGAAGAAACTGTAGGTTATATTATTTGAGTCATTCACAGTCTCTACTAACTCTTCTCAAGTTCAGTTTGACAGTGCTTCTTCTTTACATGAGCATAATGTCTGCCCTTTAATGTAAAATAAACAATAGAATGATCTAAATGCTTCTAATTTCCAGTATTCCTCACACTACACATTTATCTGACTTCACTAAAACACTTGTACAATCCATTTAACAATAGAATATCAAAGTGGAAATACACCATCGCGCGGCAAGTACACAAAGGAAATGTCATACCTTTCCAAGGGAGCGAAGGGAGGATGTGCGAGGTAGTGGCCCGTTGAACACCTCCCAGATTAGGCAGCCCAGTCGCCACACCTCCCCTGCCCTGCAACAAACATGCACACAGTTCAATAGAAATGTTTCTACGAACACAAGGCAGTAATTTAAGGTTTAATATCTCATCAAAACTTAATTCAGGTATCTTTACATAGTCCTATTGTGAACATCATTTCTGCACATTCTCCAGATAGTCTTATTGCTGCTCAGCCTTTTCTACCTGTTTAACATATTAAGCCTAGTTCATGCTACATGATTTTTAGCCCGATTTGCCACTCGGCGTTATGTGAACTACTAAACAACGCATCAAAACGGCTCCCTGACACATTTCTGACACATCGCCAACATCTGCTAGATATCTAGCATGCCAAATATCTGGAGGAGTCGGCTGACTCGACATCCACATCCAGTGTGAACGCCACAACGACTTCAAGACTCCCATCACAAGACGGCAAGTTGTGTAGTGTGAAGCGTACGGCCATCGGCCGATGCTGAAAGTCATGTAGTCTGCACGAGCCTTTACTATTATTATTTCAACTAGCTATTTTAAATGTGTGTTGTTGTTTTTTTTAAACAACTCTCTCTCACCATTTCTCTCCACTGCTATTGGGCATCTCCGGTGGGTCATATTTCTCCATGTCTGGGTAAACAGCCTTGGGGGCAGGGAGTGAGACCCCGCTTGTGTCACCCTGCTCAGGGACCACATGGTCGAGGGCCCCAAGCTTCCACTCCCCAGCTCGATCGACAAAAACAGCCCATACACCCAAGTTGTTATGGAGCAGATGGCAGTCGTTGACCAGGAAGCTCAGAGCTTTCTGTGGGAGGAGGCAAACGGTAGTGGTGGAGTAAGGTCTTACAGAGGGCTGGTGACAGAAATGGCTCAACTATGGTTCCCCTCAAAGTATCATATGGTGCACTCTCCTATCCTTACCACTATCTGGTGCAGTCCCCAGGAGACCTCCAGGTCCCCAGCTCCACCCTTTTCTGCCTGGGCTTTCAGGTGGACTGACAAGGGCGTCACCTGCTCGGTAACCAGGTACAGGCTCTTCTCTGTCTGTGAAACAACCGCAAGTAAAATAAATGATTATTTTATGTGTATGTAATTATCGTGGAAATTTGTAAATTGCTGGAGAGGGATTAAGCAAATAATTGAGTAAAAACCAACCGTTGTCTTTGAAGAATTTATTAATAAGAGAATAAACAGAGTACTAAAACACATATACAGCTGGTCCAGAGACCTGCCGCCGAGGGCAGCTTCGGGCGAAAAAAGGGATGTATAATCATTTACGCAGTTTAGGTTTCTATGTTTTGGGGAACAGAGATCATCTCCTCTCCTTGAATGCACATTCAAGGAAAGGAGAGGAACAACAAGAGGGGGAAACACCAAATAAATCTCACACCTCTGACCTAAACCCTAGTAAATGTGGACAGACTAACATAAGGAGTATAGAAGAAGGAAAGGTTAATGAAAAAAAACACAATACATATCTATAAGACATAATACTACTACTACTACTACTACTACTACTACTACTACTACTACTACTACTAATAATAATAGTAAAAGAACATGCATAAAAGATTAAATGTAAGAGGACACAATTTTCGGCCATAACAGTTACTATTTTGTATGTTTATGCACCAACTTCACGGCAAAAACACTCAACCCAAATACTATCACAATATCAATTTAAGCTACTAAACTAGAGTGATTCAAACACAGCACAACCTTGCACACACATTAACATTTAAGAGGGATTTGTGGTAGGAATGATATTAAGCTAAGGAGTTTCCCAGTTGCTGTTGATCTTCAGGAGTATGATGAGTGGTAAGAATCTTCAGAATTAGGAATATGTACCCATCATAGACAAGGAGGAACCATAAATGCACACTGTCTTCCTAGCTTGCAATCAACTGTCACATTTTCCTTGATACATTTGATTTTCAATTCAAGATATACATAATAGATAAACCAACAGATGCACAGATTTCAAGTGTTTAATAGTACAGCATGACTGGACTACTGGACCTTGCTGAGCACACAAAAACTGATAAAACAATATAAGAAACTGTTTACATGATCTAGTACACAACTCACTACAACTTTTGTACAAATATCATAGGCCCACAACGGCTTAAAATCACACTTACCTCTATCTGAACATGACAACGTGACATGTAGGGAAAAGCAGATGGTGGGGATGAGACACTAATTATATGTTAATTAGAGTTTAAACATTAAGATTTACTTTTAGTGTCAATTTACGCACGGCATCTGAAAAGTATCGTTTTGCATAACCCTCCCAGTTACACAAAAATACAGTCACCCACACATATGCATTTCATCAGAGAGGCCAGAGCGCAGGGTCGCCTTCAGGGTCTACCTCAAGGCCGCCTGGACCAGTTTTCTGGGGTTCAGTGACAAAGGCGCTTAGGCAGAGATGGTGGCCATGTGTGAGACCAGCCCCCATTCAGACCATTTTTTGGTTTGTTTTTACCTCATGTGCCTCACTTAACTAGCTGATTGATTTTATCCTCTCAACAATGTAAACAATGGTAGAGAGTGTGGAGATAAAGAAGACAGGTGCAAAATCACTCATACACAAAAACATACCTCCAATCCATCGACATAAGCCAGGATGTTAGGGTGCCGCAGGGTCTTCATGCGCTTGAAGGCGGCCTTGGCCAGCTGGGTTTGCTGCTCTGTTCCCTGTGCTACCTCGTACACAAACACGGACACTGGCTCGCCATTGGTCTGAGGAGACAGGATGGGGTGAAATGGCTCACTCATAAAGCTGACATGTGATATTTAAACCATTACCAAGTGTCACACTAAAGAATATCATGGATCTTGTAGACCATCCACTCCATAGTGTCCTTAAGACACTTGGCAGTTCCTTTAGTGGCCGACAGAAGATGCCCCGGTGTTCTACTGAACGGCTCAGATGGTCTTTTATTCCAACAGCAATTAGATCCTTTAATGCATATTTCTGATTTTAAGGTTTTCAGCTGGTCCTATTTGTAGCAACCTGTCAGCTCTAATCAGGATTCAAAGGGCTTTTAATGAGTGCATTGTTTTTTTTACTTGTCCTGTGTGTACAAACTGGTTGTCTTTTCTGTTTATGTTGTTTGATGTGAGCTGGTGGCAACTGAGTTTCCCCTTTGGTGATTAATACATTTTCTAATCTAATGTAATCTAACGTTTATGCTTTGTAATTAAATATAACAGGAGTTGAAACATTAAATATAATATCCCACATAATTTTTAAATCTATTACAAAAAGCAGAATGCAATCAGGAAGCTGGTGCTTGGCTGTGATGATCTGGCCCTGCAGGGATGATGATGAAGACAGTCCAGACTGAGCTGCTCAACGAAAATAATAGGGACTGCGATTTATGTGAGATTTCTGTCAGTGATGAGGGACGACATCTTCATTAATTTGATAAAGCTTTGGCTTGAAAATAATTATAACAGCAGTTGTTAACTCGGCTAAAAACGGGGTGACGTGGCGAGGAATACGTGTCTGTCCCTCGGAGTAAACAAAGCCTGAGCTCACTGCATTAGCGAAGACGTACGATACTTAATGTTACAGCAAGCAGAACATTTTAATTTCGCACTGACACTGACTAAGCGAGGCAGATACGGACAGACATGACATGTAACCACGCCAATATAACACCGGACGTGTCGTGTGTAAAGGGATAATCAATAAATCAGTGAACTAACACTCTCCAGCCGGCTAAGTGACAGGCCTCCATAACGTCACGAGCTAACCATTAGCAGAGGATCGATAGCCTCTTTTTACCTTTCGCTTTCCCCGATGTAGACTCCATATTCCAGACTTTTCTTGGGTGTCTGGCAGAAGTTCATATGCAAAGTCTTTGACAGGATCCCGGGCAAAAAAGGACCACATCTCCTCTTTCCTCCACACCTCATCAAACACACACACAGCGACAGGAAAGCTACACAGAAGAGCTAGAAGAGGCTAGCTGGCAAACGGCACGGATGTAAAATGGCTCCGTGTGAACTTTGCTTCTGCACGTTGGTTCCGCAGTAGGTTTATTGTGGCGTGTTTAGTAAGAAGTACAAAATTTTACCTCAATGTCTTGGTAAAATCACAATTTGAAGTCTTTTTAAGCGAGTCACAAAATTATATTAATGAGGAAACCACAAATATTTCATTTAGAAATAGAATTCATCTTTGTACCAATGAACAGGGGTATTTCTGAACCACCATGTGGAATTTCAAGCCAATATCAAAGAATGAGGTTTATACATTATGGATTTTGATTTGAAAAGAAACACGACTAAGAGGGTAACAGCCCCCAAAGGCCCCTAATTAACATTACACATTTGTTTGTATGAATGCACCACTAAAGTACAATATAAACTCAAATGATCAGGGTTTTAAGGCAGGCATTATCACCTGGCTAGTACAGATGTCTTGTAGCAACCTCGTTATTAACCTTGTTTATATTGTTGTCATTGTGTACACTTGGATTTTGCATATATTATTGATATTTCTGCACTCTTTATATTTACACACATTCCTACTTTTTACTGCTGCACAAGGATTTCCCTCAGGACAAAGAAAGTTCTATCATATCTTGTAGAGGGACCCTGTGTCAAAATTTTAATGGTAAATGTGTTTAACCAAATGAAAACTACCTAGTTCCTCCACTGTATCCAAATCATGAAGGTATCATTATGATGGTCTCTGTGTAGTTAGTTTTGTTTTTTCCAGTGGGTCTTTTCACTGAGCCATTTGACTCTCCAACAAGAAATGTTACCAAAAGTGAGACTCCGGGACCCCTTCTGATCCTTTGAGCCATGTTAGACCAGGACTTGATAATATGTCATGCATCTTGATGGCTTGTTAGAAATAGAACATTTTCAAATGATGTCATAAATAAGGTGGACTAGGTGAACTGGAGACAGCGTCACAACAACCAGAACAAAGTAAAGGGCAGATGCAAAGTAGTGCATGATCACCAGAAATGTGGCTTTATTTACAGACTATTAACACATTTTACATTGAAGAGTTCTCTAAACATCCTCTACTGGAATTGGTCATGTACCAACTGCTTAGAGCTCCAAACACTACTGTGCCACAAAGCTGGTCTTGAGTTTTGACTCTTGTTTAAGATGGTCGCTAAGTTGTGTTTGAATTGCTTTTCAGTTTAATGTGTTACTCTTTAGTGGTAGTTTTATGCTCACGCATTTTTCTTCAATATGGCATTCGATTGGTGAGTGAAGGCACATCACAAAACTGTTATAGAAATAAGTAGAGCTTCAATTTCACGCAAAATATCTTCTTTGCGTCTCATGCTGTTCAGGTTGTGTTACTGTGTAGCTTTACCAAAACGGACGGCTAACAGGGAACAAACTGCATCGCTGAGGGAGAAACGAATGCAGTTGCTTCGTGCCATACAGGTAATCATGCTCTGTACACTATACAATCATGCTCTTAAATACTCAGCATGTGCATTAAAGCCGTTCTGATGACTCATCTAGGCAACTTTATTTTTCATTCCCTTGTGCACAATTCATATGTAGCAAACCATTTTTTTTAAATTATGCATGTCATTCTACACGACAGCATCAGGGTTTTTTAATTCAGTTTAGGACCACATGGGATGCTGTTAAACACCCATTTCAATTGTACTGGTCAATAAAAGGTCTAAAAATGTTTAGTTCAGTACATGGATTTAATGACATAACTTTAGTCTGTACTTTGATAAATATAGTTTCCAATATATTGATAATCTGACCTCATGAGGTCAGAGTCAACTCTGAAATTCCACACAATTTCACAGCCTATAGTCAATAGTGTGTAAGAGGGAAATTTCCAGTTTGTAGGACAGGGTAAGGATAAGAGAGTTTTATTACACATTCCTAAGTATTTTTTACATCCATCTTTCAGAACATACAATTCACATTAACACAAGATTAACATTTCAATTACACAAGGAAGTTTTATCATTTTACAAGACAGGATTGGAGAGGATTGTAGTTCACTTGGTGCCACTCACAAGTGTTGATACAGAAAATTATAGGAATAAAATTTTTACATTGTGCAGCGCTGAGGGTGGAAAATTACCACGTTGCCTACAAGTCTTGTCAAATGCATTCTTACAGTCTCCGATAACAAACCCCCCCCCCCCCCCAACATTTGTGCGCAACTTGATGGTATGTACAAATTGTACATGTTTGCGTGCTCAACATCCCTACTAACAACTAAATGGGACACCAAGTCTATGAAAGGGGTGTGACAACATAACATTTGATTTCATCCTGTAGGTTTTTTTAATTTAAAGAGTGGCTAAAATAGGATATGAAACCCATTTTTAAAATGACACGAAATTATCCTTAAGACTAAAATCAGTTTTGCCCCAACGTAAAAAAAAAGCAGGACACCGCAGGGATTTGAACCCCGTCCCGACAATGTCAGGAGTGCCAACCACCGGAGTCTTTTGCTTTTTGTTACTGTATTAAAGGGCAAAAGCAAAACATGGAGGAACAAACCCAGAGGTTTGTTCCTCCAGGAAAAGAAAACCCTCAACACCTGGTTGCTATTTTATCCTTTCACCACATGGGGATCTCTTGGTCACGAGGCTGAAACTAGAAGAAAGAGACAACCGTTTCCCCAATCCCCAGCATTCCCCACGACAGTATTGTGTGACCGATTCCACGAGATCCTTTTATCCACATTATAAAAGCCACGATACCAGCATCCCTGGCGATACCCAAAGCGGTTTTCCCTTTGCAATTCAGCAGCACTCGCGGGTCAAACAGACAGGTGGCTTTCTTGCCGAGATTACAGCTGTAATGGAAAGAAGACAGACAATTTAAGCCTCGCCCCCCCCCCCCCATATATAAATCCCACACTTGTGCCAATACGACAATTTATGCCAACATGGTCATTGTTTACCGCGACTGATGTAGCAGGATTTACCACAGCTATTCTTCTGCAGTGATGCTCAATTCTTCGAAGTATTAAAAGATTGTACCCTAGAGGCTGGCTGTACCAAGTCCTCCATGACTCCCTGCAGAGGTTTAAGTCGCCTGGCTCAGTACCAAGTTAAGCTGAATGAGAAATCTGAAAAGGAGAGAAGAGTGTTGCCCCCCCCCCAGCCCCAAAAAACCCTGACCAAAATACTACTGCAATGTTTGACAACGACTTCATGAACATTATGTTGTGTATTACGAATGTTATGCAGAGCTGATGTGCATGCAACACGTTGAGTTACACATTAAAGCCATGGTATGTTAAAGAAAAAAAAAATAAAAAATCAAGGGAACCGAAATTACTTAACTGAGCACCCAATGAGACTGAAGTGATGCAGTATTAGCGAGACAAGCTTGCAGCTCTTGATCTTAATGTGACTGGATTCTCAGTGTTCCACCACGGGTTAGGTCGTCCCAGATGACAAATTAAGACTTTTTTAAAAGGTAATTTGACCTGAGAAACCAAGAGGGAAAGAAAAGAGGCACACACAAACACAGCAGGGCTTCTGCGAAGGACGTCAGGGGGAGGGGGTTCAGATTTAAGCTTAAGCGCACAAGGGGTGGTTGGGACTTCATTCAGGGGCCACACTCATATTCGCTGACAGCTTCCACAGATGGCTTTGCATTCAGGGGCAGGCGATTTCGGAGCGGACAGACGAGAATGATCTGAAACAAAGAGTGATCTACACAAGACACCCACCACACAATACTTAAAAAGATACGGGTTCTACTCATCTTATATAGTTTAAGATGCAAAGCAATAGGGCCCTGAGGCCAAAGAGGAATATGCTAGTAAAGCATTGCTGTTACTGATGATTTGAGGTTAACATAAGCCAGTTCCAAGATGTCATTTTGTCAACTACAACATTGCAGAAGTTTATTTTGAAAAGTTAAGCCAACATCTTACTACATGCTCCAGGTTAGAGGACTTCACCTGAACCTTCATCTTGCACTCTGATTTCTGTGAAGAGAAGGGATACACCCAACCAAATCCAATGCACAATACACACTAAAGCAACACATTTGCGCTGCATTTCAGACCAATTTAAAGCTGCGCCATGCACAGCTTTCCTCAGCTACTTAAATCTTTTGAAAAATTCACACAGTTGCGCGATTGAGTAATTTCGTGTGACCAAACTGCCACTTGCACAGTTGCGCGAGGGCTAGCAGCTGAGGGCTAATTGCTCCAATCTATATACATATTAGAGACACAACCTGACTCCACTTGCTCAAACTGTGTGTTGGTTGATTTCAAAGGGCAGGATGATTCCTGTGTTGTCCTAGGTAGACTGCATTCTTCCTTTGGACTGTTCTGAAAGATCAAAGAGGCAGACAACACACACCCCTGTCCCCCGCCCCCCCTGACACAGTATCATAGAACTGACTATTGTTATCCTTACCCAAATGCTTTACTGCAGATATCAGAATCAATGAAGGTCCATCAAATCTTCCCATTATCACAAGAGACTTGTTAAGAAAGCACAGCAGTGCTATTTCTATAGTCAAGTTGCTTCATTTCAAGAATAATGAGGGCAGTTGAGCCCATTCAAAGAAGTGACCCCTCTAGGGTTGAAATTTTCTGCTTTCCAACATCAATATTTGATGGATTCAACTTATCTGCCTTCAATTTCCACTTTGAAAAGGATGTCATTCGAGCCCAGGTCACATCCGTGCTCTACAAAGCTCCAAGTTTTAGTCATACCTGAAAAAGCACAAGAAAAGCTCCCCCACACAAGCCCCCAAAAAGAACAAATGCATACCAAAACTGTTTTCAAAAATCACAACAAGCTATGCATTTATTATGCAATAAGAAAATCCTTTACAGATAGTTCACTCATTGTATTATCAATACAAGGCATAGTAACTAATTGCAAAGGAATTGCAATGGAGGCATTTAGCCAGACAATGAATGTTAAGAGAAATGAGACATTTAGTGACCTTACGTGATGCTCGATGCGCAAGGAAACTTGTACATACAATGAGTTAGGAGAGTTCCTGATG